AAAAAGACCAAATCCTCGTAACCAGTTGCTGCTCCAAGTCCAAACAGAGCAGTATAAAAATTAAATAATATGTGTAGTTTAACTCTTGAGGGAAAATGGATTTTGTAATGGAAAATGTAACCTATCTAACAGAGTAGTATTATGCTACTGTTCACAATTCAATGAGGAATATTTGTAGATTAATATTTGAATTGAGTGACATAAGTAACGTGTGGATTTATGCCAACTAATGATTGTCTTTAAGCCCTTGGGAGATGGTCTAAGTAAGAAAGAGCTGGCTGTCAGCGGTCTTTACTGTGACTTTAAAGACAGAGACAGCTACAGAATGCAAAACCTTAAGGAAAGGGAAGCTCTGACTCTCCCTTGGACAGAATTACAAATGTCTCAAGTATGTCACGGTGATTTGTTGTCTTTTAAGAGCAACCAAATAAATCTGAGATTCCATGGCTTGTAAGAGGTGAAGCCTGCAAGAGGCAATATAAACAAGTTCCCCTGGCTCTTTGAACAGCAGATTCATTTCTTCTTTTTATTTTTCAGTCCTTAATTGTTATATCATTGACATAGAATGAAAGGAATAAATCCTTACATTTGCAGGACAAGCTAAAGCTCAGGACTGTGGGTGCCATCAAGGTGTGTTTCTCGGGCCACCGTTTCCACTGGTGTTTTATCACGGGGGGAATCTCACAGACTCTCCAGACTTCTATAATGAATACAGGTCAACACAGAATTCAAGGAGCTGAGATGGAGAGAGTGTAAGTCAAGGTAATGTGTCAGTAGACATGTGGAATTAGATCTTAATTGGAAACGAATGAATGTTTCAGAAGCAGACATGTGCTAAGTGATTTATTTCAGAAGAAACGTGTGTGATTGAAATTGAAAAGTAATGAATGGTAGGAAAAAAAGGATGAAAGTAGGAAAGCATAAATAAAACGTTTTTTATACACGGTGGGATCCTACATTGAAAATGAATATAATCCAAAGCAGAATATTTCTTGATATTCTTCATTTTTTAAAAGCATCAGGGTGGCTCCGTAGACCATGGTTGACACAACAGTCCACAAACCAGTTTTGACCTACAGACTGTTTTACATAAATAACATTTTATTGGAACAAACCCACACTAATTTACATATTATCATGGCTGATTTTGTACTGTATTTTCCCAGATGAATAATTGTGAGAGACACTGTATGGTCTGTTATTTAAATATTATATGATACTATAATTAAATATGTACTGTTTCATCTTTTATAAAAGTAAGATTTGCCAACCTCCCATTCTAGAAGTGTGAAAATTACTGAATGTTAAATCTAACTTGTTCGTTTGTAGATTATGTTTGAAATCTATTATATGATGAAGTAGCTTCTAATGTAAGCTAAAGAGTTAAAAACAGATCTATATTTACTACAGATATTTTATCATAATGTATAAGAAGAATAAAAACATTACAAAGCCAAATGGCAAAAAGAAAAATAAACATTTTTTAAAAATGATAAGAACATAGTTGTATTAGCTCATGTTTAACAGAATACTATAACTGTTCAGAGTTGTAGTGCCCCGGCAGGTGAGATCCACGATCACAAGGGTAGCCTTTCCAGGGCGAAGTTTATCCGTTGTATTCCAGATGGGTTTACCCCTGAGATTTTCCCCAAATGCAGGAAACTCTGCTACTACAAAATTCATGGTAGTTGGGGACTGTGTTTGCACGTTCCCCAGTAAATAAAGGAAAAAATATATATATATGGCTTACTAATTAAAATTTGGCTTACACAAATGTGTAAGAAATTGGCTAAATAAAAGTCAGAAAGAAGAGATTTGAAAGATCAGGTCAACAACTTTATTTATTTATTGGAAGATAAAGGCCAACAACTGCCCCCAAAAGTAGTTGGGCCAACTTAAGTTTTAAGGAATACCTTTGTCTTTTTGTCAAGGTGAAACCACGAACAGAAAATTGTTGGACCCATCTGTGCAAGACGCTGTCTTTGACACCACAGGGGTGCAGGGCTTGGCTGTCAATGGGGGTTCATCATTAGGGGCCAGGACCAGTAATCTGGAAGATCGTTTGACATCAGTTGATAGATTTTTCTTTTTTTTTTATCAAGTGGCATGGCTTCTGAGATCTTTGAAAGTGGTGGCCTTCTTTATCATTTTGATTTTCAATTCTTATCCACTATTTTAGTCAAGTCATAAAAGAGAAATCTGGGAAAGTGTAGTTTCCAGTTTTAACAAAGTTGAAAAGTATTTCTTACGTTCACAGATTCTGTTAGTCGTATTTTTTTTTTTTTTATTAAATCATAGGCTGTGTACCCCATACTATCATGGGGTACAGTATACTGTTTCTATATACAATTCAAAATACTTTCATCCAACTGGTTAATGTAGCCTTCATGTCTTTTTCTTAGTTATTGTGTTAAGACATTTATATTCTACATTTAGAGAGAGTCACATGTACCCTTATAGGATGAACCATAGGTGTGATCCCACCAATCACCCTCCCTCCACCCACCCTCCCCCCTTTTCCCTCTCCCCCTATTCCTGGGCTAAAATTGGGTTATAGCTTTCCTATGAAAGCTATAAATTAGTTTCATAGTAGGACTGAGTAATTGGATACTTTTTTTCTTCCATTCTTGAGGTACTTTGCCAAGAAGAGCCGTATTTTGTATGGGGCACTGCAGGGAACATTTGTGTCTGCCCCACTTGGCATCTGAACTTGTGGCTTGAAAGCCACCAGGGATGGAATCCTCCCCTCAAAACACATTCACTTTCGAGTCTGGTGGGAAGAGTGGGGGAGCTGAGGGTTGGGACGGTCGAGGCTCTTGGCTGTCTCTTGCTCAGGGTCCCTGCAGGTGGTGTCTGCAGCAGGGAGACCTCACGGTATTCGGACTGTTTACCTTGAGCTCCGGGTTCACCGGGCAACTCACCTAAGACCGTGAGAACTCAGGGAGATGATCGAGGAATTTTAGGCTCTAACTTCAGAGATGACTGAACATCACCCGGCCATCCTTATGTTTCATAGGATGAAAATTATTATGTATTTAATAATAAATCCTGCTTTCATGCATAAGTGCGTTAATGTACACAGCTATGATTTAATTTAAAAAAAAGATATAAATAAATAAATCCTTATTATTCAAGCCTTGAAGTTGAAAGGATTTTACAGTGAGCACATAATGTAGTTACCCCCTTGGATTTATAAGGAGCATTTAGCTATATTAATTTGTTTCATGTATATGTATCATCAGAAACGTCATATAAATGAAAACATTCAGTATTTGCTCGATGTCAAAGTCTTTTTTCACTCAAAATACAACCTTCATGGTCTTTAGTTTCCTTTGAATCTCCCGCTTCACTGAAATAATAATTTTTCTCTTTCCTCTTCATGGATACCTAGGTTTTTTTTTCTAGTTTTTCATCATTAAAATAAAGCTTCTTAGAAGACTTTTGTACAATCTATTATGGGGTGCATTTTCCATTTTCTTGGGTTGCTGTCTGAGAGGGGGATTGCTTGGCGTGGTATAGTGTGTATTTACCTCCATGAGAAATGACTACAATTTTTCCATAAAATCTGGTTTTTAGACCTCGACCAACAAAGTGTGGAAATTCTAGTTACTCCACAGCTTCACAATTTCAGTAATTCTGATAAGTGTTAGGAAGGATTTATTGCTTTAATTTGTATTTCTTGGTATCTAGTTATGCTGGGTGATTTAACATGTGCACAGTGGTTATTTATTTCTTCCTCGATCAAATATCTATTAAAATTTTGCTTATTTTTTAATTGAGGTTCTTCCTATATTATTGACTTTTAAGTGTTCTATAACGCTGTAGATCAGCCCTTTATCAAATATATTCATTACACTCTGGTTTGTGACTTGACTTTTAAAGATCTTTAACAGAGTTATTTGTTGAGCCAGAAGGTTATAATTTATATGCGGTCTAATTGATTATTTATAATAATATGATTATTCTTTCTGTCATTTCTCCAGAAAATAGATCAAGTCACAAAGATCTTATATTTCCTTTTAAAAGCTTTATCATTACTCCATGTTTAAGCTTATTTCAAATTGTTGGAGTTTTTTGTTATTTGTTTTGTATATAGTACACAAGAGTCTCTGGCTCTCCTTTCAAGAATGCACCCATTCACCTTGCATGGTTTGTGGTTACCTAAATTCTACCTTCTGTTCTGAGGTCAGAAGGACTGTGAAATGTCAGAGTTTTATCTGCCTCATATAATGCTGAAGCCGAGCTGATTTCAGGCTAAAAGGGAAAGAGACTAGCAATTCACCCTGCGTTGAGGCCATCTTTGCATATGATTATTACATAATGTGTAAAACTTTTGCTGAGATAAATTCACAATATATAAAGTTCACTCTTTTAAAGTGTACAGTTCAGTGGTTTCCAGCATCCTTGTGGGGCTGGGCCACCATCATTACCACCTCATTGTAGACTGTTTTCTTCTCCCCAATAAGAAAGTCACGTACGGAACTGTGGTCCCTTTCTCCACTCTCAGCTGAAGTTTTGAAAGCTTTCAAGAAATCACTTGCTCTGGTTCATCCTCCAGCACTTCTTGGTAGCCAAATTATTTTTCTACTCAGTCCAGACTGTTAGTTAACTCTGTGCATTCGCAGAGCAGACTGACTTAGCATTTACTCAGCCATACCAGAAGTGAAATTGCTCTCTGCGTCTTTTTTCTTTCTTTTTCTGCTTATAAACATTTAAGACAATCGTGGTCCCAGACAAGTTCACACCATCCCATCTTCCCATTGTATTGTTCTTCCTCTGGTGATTTTATTTATGTCAATATTAATTAGTATATTAACAGTAAAATAGTAACAAACCAAACAAAATAATAATAAAACCAGTAAAGTATGCAACACGTCATATTATATGTGACTCCCTTTTTAATGGTATTTTGTGTATAGAAGAAAATATAATATTTATAATATTGCTAGAGCCATATAAGTATTATTTTAATTTATGTTATTTATGTTTGCGTAGCACATCTGTTGAAATCATTTTACTTTCAACTTTTCAGGATTCTTCTCATAGGCATGTTTGTTCATGACAGCTAGGACATAACTAGTTTTTGTTTTTTTTTTTTTGGCAATATATGTATAACCACCCATGTCTTCAGTTTTCTGCATTTTTTTTTGCAGAAAACTGTCATTTTCTCCAAGACATAAATTCTTTCTTGTGAACTTCCAAATTGCACCAATATGACACTCGCATTTTATGCAAAATGTCATAAGCACATGTGACTCACTTTTTAAAATTCCTTCTTGCCTCTTAAATTATTCTTCAGGAATTATCTTCTCTCACTTGGAAGATAATTCCACTTTTAAAGTGCCTTTAAAAGTGCCTTTAAAAGATGCTTTAGTAAATGCCCATGTCCTATGTGCTTTCATTGGGCAGTAATTGTATTTTATATATATTTTTTGTGTGTGGCAAGATGAGTGATATTTGTATTTATTTTTTACAAGTGATATTTCATTGTCACATCTCCCTGATTACAAACTAATTTAAGCAGACCTTGGTACTTTCAGCTTATTGACTTTCGGTAAACATTTCCATTCTCTCTGTCTTTCTGGCCTTCTGAGGCCTTTTACTCCCCTTGGCCCTTTTTAGAGATGTTTACACAATGCTCACTTGTCATGTCACATCTTTCGATTATTTCTCCGGTTTTGTCTTTTAGAATTTTGTTAGGGTTTTTGGACATATTCAGTCAAACATATAAATATTCAGGATTTCCCAAGCTTTAACGTCCATTTCCGTATGTAGTTTTGATGTCTAGTTTACCTCACTAGTCATGAGTTATTTCCCAATGTAGTCACAGTATTCATTTGAATTAAGTTGGCTGATAACCTTAAAAACTTTATTATTTTTAATTTTGGTTATCAATATTTGTGGGGTGTATAAAAGCATTAGGAAAGCATTGAAAACAATTTTAAGGTGGCGTTATGTGAGAGGTATGATTACACACACAAACACATTAAAAAAAAAACCCTGGATATCATTCTTTTAAGTGAAGTATCACAAAGAATGGAGAAAGCAAAGATAAAATGTCCTCGATACTAAACTGGAACTGGTCTGTCAACTCTTATGTGTACAAAGTGAAGGGCAAACTCCCAACTTTGACTTAAAATACAAAAAAGCACATTATTTAACTAAAACACGTGTACCCCGTAATATTTGAAAATAACAGACGTCTTTTTATACATCTCTGCCCATCAGTCAATCTATCATCTTTTTACCTATCTTGCCCTTTATGTTTATGAGCTTGTGAAAAAATAGATTCTAATAAGAATGAGAGTCCTGGGTGAATTCCAGTAATTAGTATAGTAGAGGTTGGTTTATCCTGAATCTCCCCCAAGATTAGACTGAACGAGAGAGGAACGACTGCAAGCTATTTCTGTGTCTGTTACTGTTAAAATAATGAAATCACTATTATTATGTAAATGTAACATGCTCCATATTTTTTCTCCTGATAATTGCTTTCAGGTGATGCAAGTAAAAAAAAAAAAAAATCTGATGTTATTTGTCATATTGGTTGCATATATCTTACTTTATAAATATACCTCAAAGCCATGTGGGTTATTTAGAAAGCAAACTGTGGGACTACAGTTAAAATATAAAAAGAACAGACAGATCCACGTTGTAAATATGAATTTCATGAAAATAAGTTATATTTATAACGTAATGATGTTGTATTAAAACCAAAT